TCAGATATAGAAGATAGGATAGCAGTCAGTGACCGTGAAAAAAGAGGTCTATTAAAAACAGTAAGGGATCATGAGAAATCAATCCAACAACTCCTAGACGATACAAAGAAAAATAACATAAGACTGATAGGAATTCATGAAAAAACAGGAGAAAACACAAATGATATAAAAAAGCTCTTCACAGAATTAATGACAGAAAACTTCCCAAACAGAAGGGAAGAATTAGACATACAGATAAGTGAGGCATATAGAACCCCAACTAGCCACGATCAAAAAAAATCTACACCTAGACATATAATAATCAAGATTCCAGAAATCCAACAGAAAAACAAAATACTACAAGCAGTAAGAGAAAAGAAACAAATCACATGCAAAGGGAAGCCCATTAGAATCACAGCAGACTTTTCAACACAAACCCTTAGGTCAAGGAGAGCCTGGAGTGAGGTATTCCAAGTCCTAAAAGAAAAGAATCTCCAACCTAGACTTTTGTATCCTGCAAAACTCTCTTTCAAAATAGATGGGGAAATAAAATACTTCCACGACAAAGAGCACCTGAGAAATTTCATGAACACCAAACCAGCACTGCAAGGAATTCTAAACAATATCCTAGAAAAGGACAACGAAATTCACAATAACATGAGGCCCAACAGACCAAATCAAATAGGCAAGGCAAGAAACTAAAAGGAGATGGGAGAAAAAGTAAAAAGAGTCAACAAATGGACAAAAACATGACAAGAATAAGTCAAAATATATCAGTTGTAACCATCAATGTTAATGGCCTCAATTCACCAATCAAGAGAAACAGATTGGCAGAATGGATTAAGAAGCAAAATCCAACAATATGTTGTATACAAGAAACACACCTAGTGCAAAAGGAAGTCCATAGACTGAAAGTGAAAGGATGGAAAACAATTCTCCATGCGTCAGGAGTCCAGAAAAAAGCAGGGGTAGCAATCTTATTCTCAGATAAAGTAAATTTCAAACCAAAACTCATTAAGAGAGACAAAGAAGGACACTACATCCTTGTAAAGGGAACAATTCAAGAGGAAGAGCTGACAATCATAAACATATATGCACCAAATATAAATGCCCCCAACTATATAAAACAAATATTAAGTAACATGAAAAACCAAATAAGCACTAATACAATTGTAGTGGGGGATTTAAATACCCCACTATCACAAATTGACAGATCTACTAGGCAGAAAATCAACAATGAAATAATAGAACTGAACCAAGCTTTGGAACACATGGACTTAATAGATGTTTATAGAGTATTCCACCCCCAAAAACCAGAATATACATTCTTTTCGGCTGCACATGGATCATTCTCCAAAATAGACCACATACTGGCTCACAAAACAGGTCTAAATAAATGCAAAAAAATTGAAGTCATCCCCTGTTTATTATCAGATCATAGTGCAATCAAACTAGACATCAATAGCACAAGAAACTATAGAAACTTCACAAGCACATGGAAACTGAACAACACTCTCCTAAACAATCAATGGATTACAGAGGAAATTAAAGAAGAAATTAGACAGTTTTTACAAATAAATGAGAATGCCAATACAACATACAGGAATCTTTGGGACACAATGAAAGCAGTTCTACGTGGAAAATTCATAACATTGAATGCCCACACTAGGAAAACAGAGCGGGCTCAAATAAACAACTTAACGATGAAACTTAGACTCCTAGAAAAACAAGAGCAAGAAAAACCCAAAGCTCGAACAAGAGAGGAAATTATAAAGATCCGAGCAGAAATCAATGCAATTGAAATTAAGAAAACGATACAAAAAATAAATGAAACAAAGAGCTGGTTTTTTGAAAGAATAAATAAAATTGACAAACCCTTAGCTAATCTTATCAAAAAAAGGAAAGAAAAGGCTCAGATCCATGCAATTAGGAATGAAAAAGGCGAAGTCACAACAGATCCGAAAGAAATCCAGAGGATCATGAACACCTACTTTGAGAACCTGTACTCTAATAAAATGGAAAACACAGAAGAAATGGACAGATTTCTAGATACTTATGAATTACCAAAGTTGAACGAAGAAGATAAAAACATTTTAAACACCCCAATCACAATCAGTGAAATTGAAAATGTAATTAAAAACTTACCAACAAAGAAAAGCCCAGGCCCTGATGGATTCACTGCTGAATTTTACAAGACATTTAGAGAAGAACTACTACCATTACTCTTCAAACTTTTCAATGAAATTGAAAGAGAAGCTATACTTCCAAATTCATTCCTGGAAGCAAGTATCACTCTGATTCCCAAACCAGAGAAAGATACAACCAAAAAGGAGAACTACAGACCAATCTCCTTAATGAATATAGATGCAAAAATCCTTAATAAGATACTAGCAAACAGAATACAGAGGATTATTAAGAAGATCATCCATCATGACCAAGTCGGATTTATTCCAGAGATGCAAGGGTGGTTCAACATACGAAAGTCAGTGAATGTAATACATTATATTAACAAAGTCAAGGACAAAAACCATATGATCCTCTCAATAGATGCAGAAAAAGCATTTGATAAAATTCAACACCCATTCATGATAAAAACCCTGCAAAAAATTGGAATAGATGGTCTATACCTCAATTTAATAAAGGCTATTTATGAAAAACCATCAGCCAACATCATATTGAATGGCCAAAAACTGAAAACCTTCATGTTAAAATCAGGAACAAGACAAGGATGCCCACTATCGCCACTTCTCTTCAATATAGTTCTGGAAACATTAGCCACAGCAATTAGACAAGAGAAAGAAATTAAAGCAATAAAGATAGGAAAGGAAGAAGTTAAACTATCATTATTTGCTGATGATATGATACTCTACATTGAAGATCCAAAAAACTCCACCAAAAAACTTCTAGACTTAATTGACAGATTCAGTAAAGTATCTGGATACAAGGTGAATACCCAAAAATCAATAGCCTTTCTATACACAAATAACAGACAGACAGAAAGAGAAATAAGGGAAAAAATTCCTTTTACAATAGCATCCAAAAAAATGAAGTATCTAGGAATCAATCTAACAAAAGAAACAAAAGATCTCTACACTGAAAACTACAGCACTCTGAAAAAAGAAATCGAAGAGGATATAAAAAAATGGAAAGATATCCCCTGCTCCTGGGTAGGAAGAATCAACATAGTGAAAATGGCCATACTACCGAAACTGCTATATACATTCAATGCAATGCCAATTGAAATTCCAACACTATATTTCACAGAACTAGAAAAAAGAATCCAAAAATTCATTTGGAACCACAAGAGACCTAGAATAGCAAAAGCCATTATAGGCAACAGTCACATGGCACCAGGTGTAACAATTCCCAATTTGAAACTATACTACAAAGCCACTGTGATAAAATCAGCATGGTACTGGCAAAGAAATAGGCCTGAGGATCAATGGAACAGACTGGAAGACACAAAAACAAATGCAGATGTACTCAGCTACCTCATCTTCGACAAAGGAGCTCACCATCCTCAGTGGAGGAAAGATAGCCTCTTTAATAAATGGTGTTGGAAAAACTGGATATCAACCTGTCACAGATTAAAATTAGACCCTTATCTTTCGCCATGCACTAAATTAAAATCCAAATGGATTAAAGATCTAAATATTAAAACAGAAACATTAAACTTGCTGGAAAGTAAGTTAGGCAGAACTCTGGAAGACATTGGTATAGGAAAAGACTTTATGAACAAATCCTCAGTAGCACGGGAACTAGCAGAAAGAATCAACAACTGGGATCTCATCTTACTAAAAAGCTTCTGTACTTCAAAAGAAACCATTAGCAGAACTAAGAGACAATCTACAATGTGGGAAAAAATTTTTACCAGCTGTACCTCAGACAAAGGACTATTATCAAGGATATATAAAGAACTCAAAACAATCAGTCCCCCCAAATATAAAGACCCGATCCAAAAATGGGCATCCGAAATGAACAGACATTTCTCATACAAAGAAGTGAAAGCAGCAAGAAAATATATGAAAAAATGTTCCACATCACTGGTCATTCGAGAGATGCAGATGAAAACAACACTGAGATTCCACCTCACCCCACAAAGAATGGCTGCTATCAAGAAATCACACAATAACAAATGTTGGCGGGGTTGTGGGGAGAAAGGAACCCTCCTCCATTGTTGGTGGGAGTGCAGACTAGTGCAACCACTATGGAAATCAATATGGAGATACCTCAAAGAGCTTGGACTGGAGGTTCCATTTGACCCAGCCATCCCTCTGTTGGGTATCTTTCCAAGAGAACTAAAAGAATCATATCACAGAGAAGTATGTGCACCCATGTTTATAGCGGCACAGTTTGTAATAGCTAAATCTTGGAAACAACCTATTTGCCCATCCGTTGGAAACTGGATAAAGAAGTTGTGGTTTTTCTATAAAATGGAATATTACTCAGCCATAAAGAGCGAGAGAATAGATTCATTCATAGGAAAATGGATACATATTGAAGATATACTCCTAAGTGAAATAAATAAGTCCCACATGTGTAAATACCAAATAGTTTCCCTGGTGTGAATATTCTGCAACAATGCATAAGATTCTAATAAGATTACTGACATTTAGAAATAGGAGGAAAGGAGCTAAAGGTGTAGGGAAGGTGTGATACGTAGGGGAAGAACAAAAAGGGAAAAGAAAAAAATGTGAGAGAATGAAAAGATGAAAATAAAGTGTTTGTAGATGGGGAGGGGAGGAGGGGGTGAAGGGAGGGCAGAGGTAAGGGGAAAAAAATGAGAATCAAGACTTGCCATGTAAAGGTACATGATCCCAACAATGAATGTAACTGTACTGTATCCCTAAATGTACCAATAAACTCAATTAAAAAAAAAAAAAAGAAATGAGATGATTAAATAGATGGGACATGGAATATTTCCTTCTACAATTTGCAACTATTTTAAGCACTCTTTAGGACTAAGGTAGGACTTTATGTCAACTTGCTTCACAAAACTTCCAATTTTCTTGTCCTTTTAGCTTACCTTTGGTGCTTTTGATCCTGAATTCAGTGAAAATAGTCAGTTTCCTTCTGTCCATCAGATGGCTCCAAAGGATGAATCACTGGCCCTTGGCATGGTTTCCTTGATGCTTCATTTCCACTGGACCTGGGTGGGACTCATCATCACAGAAGGCCTGAATGATTTTCAGTTTCTCTCAGACATGAGAGGAGAGATGGACAGGAATGGAGTTTGTGTAGCATTTGTAAAAATGATTGAAAATGCTGTTGTATCACACCTTTGAAGTCCAAACCTGCTAGATTTCCTGAGCAGAGAGACCTCACCAGTAAATGTGGTTGTCATTTATTATGATACTGACAGTCTAAATGATATCAACTATCATGTCGGGGTACATTTAGTGACATGAAGAGTCTGGGTGACCAACTCACAATGGCATGCTGACCTGGCTGGAAGAAATTTCATCCTTGACTCATTCCATGGGAGTTTCATCTTTTCACACCACTATGAGGAGATTTCTGGTTTTAAAAAGTTTATCCAGACAGCTACCCCCTTTAATTACCCAGAAGACACTTTCCTCACTCTGTATTGGTTCCAGAATTTCTACTGCTCATTCTCTGATTCTGATTGTTCACTGAAGGACTGTACACCTAATGCTTCTCTCATATGGCTGCCTGCAAATCATTTTGACACTGCCATGAGGAAAGGGAGCTACAATGCATACAATGCTGTGCATTTGGTGGCACAAGCCCTTCAAGAGATGCTTCTTCAACAAGCTGAGATGCAACCAAGGGGAAGTGGAAATGGGGAAACTATGGGGTTCTCCCCCTGGCAGGTAATGTGCTTTTATTATAAGGAAGGCCCTAGTATCAAGATCATTTTATAGAAGTTTAAACAAGTACTCAAAACCAGTTAACAAAAACCTTTTCTGAAAAACGCAAAGGTTCTGTATTAATTTTATTTTTGAAGTAAAGTTTGACCTGGAAATTAATCAAGATCATTGCATTGGTTGAAAAAGGTGATAATATTCTTTGTATATCATGTTCTGAATCAAAAAATCAAAACTTTACCCTTGGAGTTTAGAAGAGAATGCATGAATAACTATATGTGAATATTATATAATATGAGCGTTTGTATGAACATGTTCTATGTACCTAAATGTGATAAACACTGCAATGGTTACGTTATATGAATTTCCATTTTATTCTATAAATATTTTGGATTGATAGCCTCATTTTGCATGTACATTTTGTGAAAACAATTATAAAAGTCTGACTGGAAAGTGTTACCATCCATGTAAACAACATATTTACATAGGTTTGTCCAAATGTCTTTTCTGGAAGTTAACATTTTAGAAACACAGTGATATTTAATTTCTTCCACTTCATTTGTTCGCTGTGTTTTATAGTTCCACAATGAAACAAGGAATAAAGAAACTTAGAGACTGTGTCACATTCAGGTTTTGCTTTAACACTGGGACCCAATTCAACATAGGATTATTAATCCTTTTCAGCTCCACCCCTTTCTGAAAAGCCTCCAGTTGAACAATCCCACCAGAGAACAAAGAAATTTAGACAAGAAAAATAAAGTAGGTGCCAATTATGATATTCTCAACTTGTGGAACTTTCCAGAAGGCCTTAGAAAATGGGTGAAAGTTGGAGAGTTTTCCTCTCATGCCCCACTTGCTCAACAGTTGTCTTTGTCTGAGAAGATGATAGAATGGGCCACAGGAATTACTAAGGTAATTTGGATCTTCACATAACTCATCTTATTAGATATAAATAAATGAGGGGCTGGGGATTTAGCTCAGCGGTTCTGAGGCCTGCCTTGCAAGTGCAAGGACCCAAGTTTGATCCCCGGTAACAAAACAAAACAAAACAAAGATATAAATAAATGAAATTTTCTGTATTTGTGCCCTACCCTTGGTCATAAGTAGCCCCAAGTGGAAATTTAACAGTTCACCCTCCAATCCTAAGCATTTTATTATTTCTTTAATTTCTGGTGAATAGGAACAAAGCACATTTACCTAACCATATTTTAGTCAATATTCACGTTTTTATCATTCAATAAATATGAGATTCAAGCAAGTTTTGTGATTTATGCACTTATACAAATTAAGTTTTTCACTATGGTTGTGAAGGGTTAAGTAAAATTCAGAGAAGTTGACAACACACGTCTGATTGATCCCAGACTCCACAGTCCATATGCAGTGAGAGCTGCCATCCCGGATTTCGGAAATCCCCTCAGGAGGGAAAGGCTGCCTGTTGTTTTGATTGCACCCTTTGCCCAGAGAATGAGATCACCAATGACACAGGTAAGAGTAAAACTTTTCAACCAATTGTCACACTTTTTGTTGCCTCACTTACCTCCAGGTAAAGAACATAATTTTGAACAGAAGAGCAAAGGCAAATTCTTTCTTCCTTCATTTAGCAATGTACCTCTGTACTGTTACCCTTTCAAAAGACACAGTTGCTGGCCCCTGAGCTATATCTGAGATTCTTTTGCTCTCCTGGGGATGTGCTGTAGTCTGCCACTGGGCCACATCCTCACCTCTTTTAAATTTATTATCTTTAGCAAAAGTCTCAGTAAGTTTCCCAGGCTCACCTAAAAATTGTTGAGCCACCTACCACAGCTTCTGGAATTGGGAAATATAGGCATTCACCACCACACCTGATGCTTTTTATGTATTTTTCTGGACCCACTGAAAGCATTGTATTGCCAGCCCATTGTGGTACTGCATACCTAATTATCCCAGAACTCTGAGAGTTTGGGGCAGAAAGATTGAAAGTTTGAGCTCTATCTGGTACAACTTAGTTACTAATGAGACAATTTTACCAAATCAAATAAAAAAATCACAAAGTGTTGAAATGTAATTCAGTGTGAGGGCCCTGGGTTTTGTTCTCAGTTCCACAAAAACAAAGAAAAAAGAAGATACTCTACTATCAAAGGAAAAGTAGAAGTATACAGACATGCCACATATAGGATCCTAATAAACACTATATGCCATCATGTGAACTAAGAGAAATAACATCAACTTATGAAAAAGAGGGTAGGGAAATGGGAGAAGGAAAGAGGAGGGACATGGAGGTCAACGGGATTACAAAAAAGAAATAAGCTTGGCATGTAATTGCTCTCAATGATGATTGTAGATTGTGTAAACTGCAAACATACACTAATAAAGATATTTTAAAAGAATAAATAATGAAAAGACCCCTGTTAACTTTACTAAACCAATTCAGAAATTGGCAGGAGAGATAGGAGAAGTGAGCATAATAAGAGAAATTAATACCACTCTGTCTTTTACTGTCACAATTTTTAAAATTCTATCATTGTGAATACTGAATTATCAGTTGCACAATTGATATGAATTATGGTTACTGCCACTGCGCTGCAAGATTTATATCTATATTGAATGTAGGATGATGCAATAAATGACCAAACCTATCTTTTTTTTTGTGTGTGTGTGTGTGTGTGTGTGTGTGTGTGTGTGTGTGTCGGGGATCAAAATCAGGTCTTTGGGCTTGAGAGGCAAGCGGCGGCACCACTGAGCTAAATCCCTGGCTCAAATATACATTTTTAATCTCTTCTTTATAAACATTGTTTCACAGAACCTTTAGCCTCTGTATTAAATCACATGGGTGTAGGCTATGTTCAGCTCTTTATGTTATTACCAGAAATGGAGAACATTAAATATCTCCATTTTGTATAATAGGAGAAGTACATAAAATGAAGGTGAATATTATAAAAGAATGGAGAATATGCAGATGGGTTTTGGGCTATGGTGTAGAAATGGTACAGAAAACCCATATCTAATATTTCTGAACAACAAAATTGTCACTTTGGAAATAGTTGAATTTTTGATAACAAATCTTGACATGATAAAATCATCACCTCGGTACCACACATTTTAAATTTGTAAACTGCTACATATTCTAATTTCACAAAATTTAGCATAATTTTGAATTAGTTTTGAAATATTATGAGGTTGATTGTATAGTGCACCATGCAATATACTCAGATTGCATGAATGGTGGTTTCAGGTACATACTCCATGTACACCAGGAGAAAAATATACCTCACATTCAGTGCTTCTGGTTTAAGAAATGCACTCTTTATATATATATATATATGTAACATGTAATACTAAAAAATAAATTGATTTTAATTGAGCATATTATTTAAGAAAATGTTGGGGTGCTGGTAAAACTATCAGCGACAAATATTTACCAAATATATACTTATATACTGCTATGTATATTTAAATAAAGAGATGATCAAGCCTTACATTTGCAGATTTTTTATCAGAAACCAGTCAAAAAGCACTAATTTAACAAAACTAAAACAGGAGACAAAAAACATTATGATAGGAATTTTTTTTAAAACACATAAACAAAAAAACAAATTCAGAAAGGTAAACGGATTCCAATAAAAATATCCCTTATAATTTTAGTAAATTTAATCAGGAAGAAAGAAAACGTGTAGAATAATAAAATATAATTACTGAGAACTTGTTTATTTTTAAGAGAAATTAATGCCAATCTGTCTTTTATAGTCACAATTTTAAAAATTTTATAATTATGCATACTTTTGAATTAACAATTGCATATTGGTGTGAATTATGCTTAGTGCCACCAAGCTGCAAGATTTATGATTATATAGAGTGTAGGATGCAATAAAAAATCAAGTCTATATTTCTAATCTGTACATTATAAACTTTGTTTCACAGATCTCTTAGCTTCTGTGTTAAATCACATGGGGGTAGGATATGTTCAGATTGTGATATTATCAACAGAAATGGAGAACAGTGAATATCTCCAATTTGAATAATTGTTGACATTCATAAAATGAAGTTCAATGTCATTAAAGAATAGAAAACATGTGGATGGTTTTTGGGCTGTGGTGTAAAAATGAAACAGAAAACCCATCCTGCATATTTTTGATCAAAAAAATTCTCATTTTGGAAACAGTAGATTTTTTTATAATAAATCTTGGCAAGATAAAATCACCCTGTACTACATATTTGAAATTTTTGAACTGTTACATATTTTTATTTCGCAAAGTTTAGCATAATTTTGAAATATAACCACATTGATTATACAGTGTGCCATGCAATATACTCAGATTGGGTGTATTGTGTTTTCATATTCCATGTACACAAGGAGAACAATACACTTCACATTAGATTCTTCTGGTTTAAAAAATGCAGTCTTCAATATTTAAAGCACATACCATATGAAATTGATACAACATAAAATTACAGTTATTTTATAAAATAATATAAATATAACATGTAATATTAAAACATAAATTGTTTTTAATTAAGAATATCACCACTACTCAGCCATAAAGAGAATTTAGAGCATTCATAGGAAAATGGATGCAAATTGAGGATATACTTAAGTAAAATAAATGTTATACATATGTCAATACCAAATAGCTTCTCTGGTGTGAAAAACTATCATCATAAATAAGATCCTAATGGTATAATTGTCAATGTGAAGTAGAAGAAAGGGGCTAAATAAAGATGTAGGGGAAGTTGGGAGGGTAGGGGAAAGGAAATAAGGGAAAAGAAAAACTATAAGAAAATCAAAAAATTGAAATAAAGTTTTTATAAATAGGGAAGGGAGGAGGGGGTGAAGGGAGGGCAGGAATAAGGTACAAGATCCCAATGATGAATGTAACTGTATTGTATACCTAAAATGTAACAATAACTTCAATGAGGAAAAAAAAGCATATTACCTCAAAAAATGTTGGGTTGATGGTAAAATTATCATTAGAAACAAATATTTAACAAATATAGACTTTTATGCTATTATGTATATTTAAAGAAAAAAAGGATGAAGTTATATATTGGAGATTTTTTTATTAGAAACTAGCCAAAACACACTAATTCCACAAAACTAATATAGGAGACAAAAAACATTATGACAGGAAATTTTAAGAAAGTTTATAGATACAAAATATTTAGAAAAATAAACAGCTTCTATAAAAATCCCTTATAATCTTACTAAATTTGATCAGGAAGAAAGAAAAAATTAGAAGAATAATAAAATATAATTATTGAAAATTTGTTTATTTCAATCTATGAAAATGTCCTTGAAATTCAGAAATTCACAAGAAAAATAATCTTAAGGAAAAATTGAATAATTTCCACAGTACCATATCTGTTGGAAATATTAGCTTATGAATTAATATTTCCTAAAAATTTTGTACTATTTGTAGCCTCACTCGTGAAATTTATAAGCATTTGAGAACACACTAAAAATGAGCATATTAAGAATGACAAAAATATTCATTTTGTGCAATGAGATAGTTTTGCAATTCTAGTCAATTATATTATTTTGTTGTTAAATTAATTTTATTGGTACAATTAAGTATACAATATAATGACATTCATCATTGGAAATTTCTAACATAATATATCTTGGTTCTTATATTTTGCCATTCCCCTGCCCTTCTGTCAATGCCTCTACCTCTCCCTATTAAAAGATTTTGTTTCCATTTTTTTCTTTTCTCACAATAATTTAATTCCCTTCTTGCCTTGACAAAACCCCTCCCAGTTCTCCTTCCTCTTTGTATCTTTTCTTCATATTTTGTATTATCTATTACAATCTTTTGATCCTTATTTAAACTTTCATTTTCTCACAACAGAGAAACTATTCAGTATTTACATGTGTCATATTTATTTCACTTAATAGTATGGCCTCAATGTACAACCATTTACATATGAATGTCTCTAATTTTTCATTATTTATGGCTGAGTACTATTCCATTTTATATTTTAAAAAACCACACATTTTCATTGTCCAGGCTCAAGTTTATGGGCAATTGGGCTGTTTCCAAATTTTAGCTATTACAAAGTTTACAACTATAAAAATGGATGCACATATATAGTATGATTCTTTCAATTATTTTGGTAAGATATCCAGTAGGAGCATAGCTAAGTCAAATGGGACCTCAAATCCTAGTTCTTTGAGGTATATTCATACTGATTTCCACAGTGGCTGACCTCCCTTCAGCCCCTAACGCCTCCCCTATTGACAAAGACTTTGTTTCCATTTTTTTCTTTTTCTCATAATTTCCTTTTCCCTTATTTCCTTTCCCATACCCTTCCCACTTCCTCTGCACCTTTAGCCCTTTTCATCCTATTTCATTTTGTAAGTTATACAATTTTGATCTTATTTACACTTTATTTTTTTCACATCACAGAAATTATTCAGAATTTACACATGTGTGTCTTATTTATTTCACTTAAGCATATGAGCTCAATAGGCATCCATTTTCCTATGGAAGACTCTAGCTTCTCATTCTTTA